CAACTGTCATACACTTTCACAGGAAAGCATTGTAAGGGCTGCCCAAGCTTAAGTCATCACTATCAGTTAAAACATGTAAAATCAAAGAGGAACCAGATCTGAATCAATCCTTACACATGGCAACGCTCAGGAATTTAAATCATGTTAAACAGCTGTAGGCAGAGTTCAAGTTGGGATATAACTGCTTCATATGAGAGGGTGGACTCAATATCAGTTATATTTCATTCATTTAATTGTCTTTGGTCTCCATCTGTGTGACTTTATTGAAAAGAACAGCATATTAAACTGTTATCCAAGCAGAAAGACAACACAGTGACTAGGTGAGATATCAGAGTTTGTTTAGCATTTTGTCCGTGTGCAGTGGGTAGAAATTTTTTTTTTTTGGTCAATTCTCAGTTCACGGAAAACTCAAGACTAAAGATGCATTGATTCTGAACCTGCTGATACCAGATATGAACCGATACTCGTTCAGAGACTGAACACAGCATTTATTTAAACTGCTCAAAAACAAAAAAAGTGATGCCCCTCAGAAGATCAAACTGCAGGATCAGATGATGGAAGTCATGTTTGGTCAATCGATCAGAGAAAATGGAATGAATGAATTGAACATTTTTTTTCTAGTAAGAGTTCATTTTTTTGTATCCTTTTTACCAGATTAATGTAAAGTCAAGATGTAATGAGTTAATTTACTGAATGACTGCTCACATTTTTACAAGGTCAAAAAATCATCTTTATTCAGACAGTGTGTGTGAAGATGTGTGTAAGTAAACAAATTTGAAAAACATAGCTGAGACCAGACCACTGTTTAAAAACCATTCCAGTTCAGAATACTTTTCTACTGTACTGGACATGACCACGTGTGCTCCCACACGTACGACCTTTATACTGGGTTGTGCTGTAGGCACGTCAATGTAAAAGTAAATATAAAGAAGGTAAAGACATCTGTAAATCATTCATCCATTTCTATAGCCACTTATCAATGCACAGAAGGGACACGATGGAACCCACGACAGCTGGCACTGGGTGAGAGGTGGGTGCACCTATACAGTATGTGTTCACCCCAAGGTGCACCGTGGAGAGTGCACCAGCTCAGCGCACAGCTAATGCATGGAAAAACAACCAGTGACGCAGGTCTGATCAAAAAGCAAGACAGCACATAAGGAGCATTCAGCAGTCCTGATGGAAAACTTAAGAACCAGAATGAATAAATGTTTTAGATGTTAATATGAGTAATATGGACACTATGTAATATGGACACTGTTGTTTTGAAGATATATAAAACTAGAATATGAGAGTATTGTCTATAAGAAAGCTATCTGAAGCTGAAAAAAAAAAGAAAAAGTCTTTCACAGAGGAGTCATTTCACATTTGTGTGATCATGAACCTCAGCCAGGGCATTTATAGGCAAATGTTATCACACTTCTGATAGACTGCAAAAACATTTGTCAATATCACATATCCCAACTTAGTAGTTATGTAATCTCTTATCACATTTAGTTTTGGTTTTATCTTCGGTGTGGTTAGGAGATTGAGAATTTTGTGCCCATTTTCCAAGAGGGATGACTTAGGAAATCAAGATTCCTGCACACCAGCTACACAGCACAACTCTTCCACTGAAGGGGGGGCATGACGCAAACAGAATCTGGTAATGACAAGCAAAATCAAAATGATATGAATATTTCTAAAATGGCAATAATATGAGCCCACACATAAGCAATTGCAATGGACATGATGTTTAAACTTGAAAATTTAACAGATGTCATTAAAGAGGCGGTAAGTGGATGAATAAAATATACAATCTTGTTAGGACAGCCACTGTACTACCAAGAAGCCTGAACAAACTCTTGTCACATTAGTAAAACTGATATTAGCTGGGTCTAGAGCTGTCAACATCTTTAAATGCTGGGTACAGGTGCCAAAGAGAGTGCCCGGGATAGTTACAAGCAGAGTGTTAATAAGGCCAGTGAAAACTGATGCGTACAAGGAAACAACAAGGAGGATGTTCTTATGTAACTCAAGTCCAACATAAAGGGAACTTTTACGACATGGGCTGGACACATAGTTCTTTAAGAGCATGTGCCCCCCTTGGACCCTATAGTAACTAGTATATTAGCAGAATGTAAAGGATAACTGTTTGACAGCTAGCCTAATGATTTGCAATACAGTCCAATGACGAAATTACCTTGAACTTGTCCGAACAAAGCAGAAAGCAATGTTCCCAAAAGAAAACAACTCCTTACACAAAGACCAAAAATACCACAGCAGCCTAAAGCGGGTCTATTCACGTCATCATCCTTTAATTAAATAAAGATGAATGAGAGGTGAAAATATCTGACTCAGCGGGCAGCAGTGGGTAGCTCAAAGTAACCTGCATACGAACAAACATATCACTGGGCTAATGCTGTCTGAAGACGGTTTGCAAGATAATGGATTTTAATACAAAAGCTCTGGTAGGTCCATGGGCAACATAAATCTTATGCTAATCGTGTGGTATAATAATACTAAGCTTGAGTATCAAACTAATAGGACAAGAAACAAAAACATGAGGACACAGCGCAGGACATTTCCTGTAAAGGTTGGTTAAGTTCTTCTGAAGATCCCATGTAATACTCAAACTTTTCAGGTCAAAAGATATTGCAAAATATCTTCCATGTGAGAAGCTTTTTTTGAAAGCTTTGGATGAAAATGTTCTACCAAAACAAAAAAATAGTAGTTAAGCTCTTATAGACTTGCTAAACGTATTGTCAAAAGTATTGAAAATCAGATACTGGAACTAGTATAGAAACTAGATACACATTTGACCAGCTATCGATGCTAAAAAAGTCAAATTCACAGAGTGGAAATGAACCTTTCCTGAAAATCTTCTTGATCTTGAGCTGTATCAGAACAAGTATAAGACCACATAGACTAGTATACGCCCATGGACTACTACGGAGCCTGCCTCGACAACTGAGCAATCACACAGATATGGCACTATGATAATATAAAAGAAAGTACTATTATTTAATGTTGAAAATCACATTCTATTGTCTAAAGTAAGAGTGTATTATCATCATGGTATAGGAATCAGTATTGAGTATCAAGTCTATTCCACAAGTCTATATCAAAATTGAGTTTGAAATTTTAATATCTTGATGGCATTAATTTCTTGTGGCATTTAGTTTTGGCTTTATCTTCTTCAAAACAGCTTGTGAGGTTGAAGTTAGGAATATTGTGCAGGCTTGCCAAAGTCCCACAAAGGACTGAGAGGCTGCCAATCTAACATCGGCCCCTCCAACTATCCCCAATCATTCATGCACACACTTTGATACTAGGCTTTAGAGGTGTCTTGCCTAAAGACACAATGACAGAACTTGGACTGAGCGGGAATCGATTCTCCATCTTTCGGGTTAGGGGTCTACTCTAACCACTGAGCTACTGTCGCCCCAACATGTAGACCTGTCACTATAATTACTAAATCAACTCAATATTTATTTTGTGTACGTTTTTGCTACAATAGTAGGAAGAATTTTACCATTTTTATGTAGTAGAGTATCATTTAAGCTGTAGAGCACCAACTTCTAAGGCTAATTATCAGTTTATTCTATTATTTATTTGTTGCAGCTCAGGACTTTTAATTATGTATTTAAAATGCTTACTGGGATTACAGTTTACTTTTATTGTGTAAGTTGCATAAAGTAGTTTCAATATTATCGTTTACTGGGATACTCCTCTCTAGCAATATATTGTACTTCAAAATGTTATTCAGGCTCCTCAAGTGAAGTGGTAGCATAACACCAACAGGATCTGGTAATGAATCTGGTAATGACAAGCAAAACTATTAAATTAATAAAGATAATTTAAATATTACCCAGATGACAATAGCATGTCCCTGCATGTAAGCAAAACCAACTGCAACATGATTAATAAACTGAAATGTATGGTATAACACTGCTTAAAATTGTTCTCATCTCATATCAATTGCCACTGGGACATTGAAGAGTTGGCACAAGGTAGTGAGAATGGGTTTGCATTTGTAACAAACTCAGCAGTGCGTGTTCCCGCATGGTCATTACGTCGTTTGTGAAAAAGTGAAAAGGTGCGCCAAGGTTTTAAATGCCACAAACACAGTAATCCCCTTTGCAGCCGTTACCATGGAGCAAAGGCCACTTCACCTACACAGTGGTTTAAAATGCAAAAATACAGAGCTCCTACAACGTTAGAAGCCATTTTAAATATTGATGAATGCTTCAGATAACACTTAACAAGATAAAAGATAAGAAGAAAACATTACAAAACCAAATATTACTACAAAGATAAGAAAAGTACCACAATTATTACAAATTTGCACACTTGAACATCTCTAAATGAAAGCAATGCAAGTCAATAATACCTTGTTGATTAAAAGTGTATTTAAAAATCATTTTATATTTTAGAAAAGACAAAGTGAAAAGCTGCAGTCCACAACAGCAATATTGGTTGCAAATTTTTAATTAGAACATCTCTCTCTCTCTCTCTTTCTTCATAAAATGTTTTGTGTCCCCAACACAGGATTACTCATAAATTAAGTAAACGGACCACTAAAAAGCTCAGCTTGTGTGTGTATGTGCAGTCAATACTCTGATATTGGCAATTGCATTTTATTTTCTACCACACACCCACTCTTATGTGTTTAGCTGCCTGCTACATAACAGCTGGTTATCTTATTCAATTATTGACCATCCAATGGGTGGGTTCTTTTACCCATTCATGTTTTCACAGTACGAGAAATCAATACATCCGACTTATGACGTACCTTTAACGAAACTAACAACTCAACACAAGTATTATCCATTATGGATGTGAAAAAAATGTTAGCTCTAGCATGCTACTCATTGGTGAATATTGATTAGGGGATGAACGTGTATACATTGGTGTGATCTGAAAACGCAATTAAAACTTCTCTTTACTGCTACAACGGGCGTGACAGATCACGAGTAATCATGCGAAAATGAAAACCATAAAGGAGATGCCAGTCTTACCAGCACAGGAGAGCTACAATGAGGCACACCAGCACAACACGCAGCCTCTTCATTATCTTCCCGCGGGGACCAACATCCTCGCTCTTTGGGTGTTTTTCTTGTTTTCACCCCGTCACAAATCACCAGTACAGTATTTTAGTTAGCTTAGCTGTGAATCAGTTACAAATACGGGTGATTCTTCTTTTTGTGGCTAAAACACACACTTAAACGTTCCCGTGTTCATTGTACGGGTCAGCTGTGCGCTTCTTCCTGCTGCGTTGGTGCTTCTGCTGTTCACGGGCGACTCGCTTCTGTAAAGTTCAACCCCCGCTCACATCTGACCAATCAGATAAGAGTTTTTAGATGACTTAGCCAATTGGAGGAGACTTCACCTTCGGGGCTTCGACAAACTCCCGCCCCCTGATGTCAGAGATGAGTTGGTCGCGGTCGAGCGAGACGCGTCAGCCTTTTGTGATAAGTAAATCCATAAAAAAATGCAATACTTAGAGATGGTTGCGAAATTGTATGTACGTTGGAAAAATGCTTTGTCGAAGTATACAATTTAAAGCCCAATCGAGTGGAGTACTCATGAGAAAAGTGAGAGAATCTATGAATGACAAGAACACTGTGTACCTTTTGCCAGGGACACTAAAAACTAAAATTATATTCCCTTTATATAGTAAACAAATTATAGATGATTTGTTTAAATACTTAAATATGGCTCGCTCTTATATTATTGTAGTGTCAATAACAATCAGTAATAATATTTTTATTATCTACTTTTGTATCCAAGTATGAAGTTTTATCTGTAAAAAGATTTTTCTCATATATAGTAAAAGGAAGCCTTCTTCGGCTTACCTTTTCTGTGTCTATTTACTTCTCATGGTAATAACGTGGATCTATTAAAATAACGTGCAATAACCACAATAACCTGAACTACATCTCCCATGATGCATTTAGAAAAAGGTGCTTTTAAACTGCCTGCCCATTAACAATGAACTTATATTTAATTCATTGCAATAACCTCAGTAATATTATTAACATTTTACTTAATAAATACAACTATTTAATCGCAGCAAGCTTTTCTTATTATCACTAATTTTAGACAGGCGGGGTCCCATCTGTCGGTCGTCACTGTAGTAGTTCAATGTGAGAACATTTTAGGATCCAGAAGTTTGTCCAGTTTTGAGATCTGTGTATTTTGTTGGTTCGCTTTTGAATTATTTTAGGACTTTTATGCACTTTTGTTCATAAAGACCTACAATGGAGATAACAAGGGGGGTCTTTCACGTTTTACTCGTACTGTTGGCGTTAGTCTTGGAGAAGTTTGCGGTGTTTGCTGCTTTCTCGCAGTCAATGGACAGTGATTTCACGTTCACTCTTCCTCCTGGTCGAAAAGAGTGTTTCTTCCAGACCATGAAAAAAGATGCCTCGCTGGAGATTGAATACCAGGTGATCAATAGCTCCTCCTTCACATAATTGAAGGTTGATAAACTTCAACATTTTAAGGGTTCAAATTCAGTTCAAATAGTGTGCTATCTTTACGTCGACATTGGCAACTCTACCTGAAATCTAAACTGCGGTCTGATATAATCACAGGAATATTAACTTCTGGTTGTAATATTAGAACTGAAGCTGAAGTGCATGTCAATAGGGAACCAGTTAGGTGAGTTATATTGTGGAGAATAATGAATGCCTCTTGTATCTCTTCAACTCACTTACACTTTTTTTTGGTCAAGAAATAACAATAATAATAATAGAAAGATACGCTATCATACTAGACTGTATATAGAATAGACTGTCTATACAGTATATGTTTAAGATGTAACATGTACTGTGATAAAGACTAGAAGATATATTAATAACAACAAAATACAGGATTGACTACACCAACTTGTTTCCCCACTTCTCTCAGGTACTGGATGGGGCAGGTCTGGATGTGGATTTCTACATTGCTTCACCTACAGGTCATGTGTTGTTCAATGATTACCGCAAATCGGATGGAGTACACACGTAAGTGAGGCTGATGCTAGGTGTGCCTTGTTGTATGTTTTTACATTAAGATCATCCTGTTATATGATGTTTCACTAGAGTTGAGACAGAGGATGGAGACTACATGTTCTGCTTTGACAACACATTCAGCTCAGTGTCTGAGAAGGTCATCTTCTTTGAGCTGATCCTTGACAACATGGACGCAGATGAAGACCCAGATGACTGGAAGGAGTACGTTCATGGGACAGACATGCTTGACATGAAGCTAGAGGACATCATGGTGAGATTTGCTTTTGTAGATTTATGTTTGTAAAAGCATGTTTATTTCAACAAATTACCCATTTTATATTCAACATAAAGGTTTAAAGATGCATGGTTATATCAGTATAAAGCTCTGTGATATATTGATTTCCGTGAAACATAATATTATGCACTTAATGCATAATCATGTGACGTATGGCACTTTTATCTGCAGTCTCTGGGGGTAGGAGCTAGAGCTAGGCAATATGACAAAAATGTAATCACAATTTTTTCCCTGATTGATTGATTCAGTTGTATTAATTTTAAATAATTTCATGATAACAATACAGAGTGGATAATTACAATTTGACAATAGTCACATTTCTTCCTTCCTTCTTTGCTCTAAATCACAGAGGATTGGCGGTCGGCCCCTTGATTTAAAAAGTCTAGTTGATCATTGTCAATTCGAAATTACTGAATCTCGATTTCAACTAAAATACAGCTGAAAATGCACAATTTAAGTTGGTTAATGAGCTGATATCTTTTATTATGGATCACAGACTACTGTATCAGACAGCATGGTAGTCGTATCATTACATATTTCCAATACCACATTGTCAAGTGTGTCCTATAAATAAACACTATATTGTATTGTATTGTGACACAATTGTTGTTATGTTATCAAGTCCTCTTTTGTTTCCTCTATGGTGGTCTGAGCTACCCTTTCACAAATGGCCTTATTTTGGGTCAGAGGTCCATTTGGCAAGCTGCCTTAAATTCAGGAAATGCAGTCCCCAGCTGTGAAGGATGTTGTTCTTATTTTGTACACAAGCAATAGTATTCATAACATAAAACAAGGGCTGCTGAGCAATTAGAAACAACATTGAATAATTTCAAAATAGTATTTTATCATCTTGGGGCTGTTAAATATATGTCTACAGACTACTTTTGGTGTTAACCGCTAGTCAGAAGTCTGTCTTGTTCATGTTCATGAAATACATTTTGAAAGCCATACTTTTTTATTTTTTATAAGGAAAAAAATGATTATTTATAGCTTGTTTCATTCATATCCTTACTTTTCCATTCCAGGACACAATCAACAATGTGAAGGCTCGGCTGTCCAAAAGTGTTCATATTCAGACTGTGCTGAGAGCATTTGAGGCTCGGGACAGGAACCTTCAGGAAAGTAATTTTGATAGAGTGAATTTTTGGTCTATAACCAATCTCATTGTAATGGTAATTGTATCGGCGGTTCAAGTGTACCTTGTGCGCTCACTCTTTGAAGATAAAAGAAAAATTCGCACATAACATTTTCTTATTAGATTTCAAAAACATAGTTTGCTTCTAATATATTTATCTTGTCAAGGTTGAAAAAAAATGCACAAATAAATTTCACATTTCCCCCAAATTACTTGGCTTACTGAAGAAAATGATTAGGGACTGCAATTTGTATTGGCATTTTTGATATATTTCCATACAATTGGTAAAGGTGACAAGAAGTCTGTTATATTATTTTCAATTAATTAACTGCTGGCCAAATATTTCTATAGCAGAGTTGGTCTATGCCAGTGTGCTGTCTGGTTCTCAAATATTTTTAATATAAATGTTTTATATTTTATGAAGATGCCTTCAGGGTTGCATTTGGAGTAGCTTCATGTCCATTAGGACCATAGTATTCATGAAGTGAAAACAGTGTCCTATTTTGAGCCATTTTGCCACCTGCAGCAGCCTAAGGACCATGAACATAAATGAAAATAAATGGAAACATCACAGAATCATGTAATGGCGATTGCTCGAAATTTCTTGGCTAAACTTGAGTGGACTTTGCTGCTGAGAACTCTCATGGTTGCTGACAAGGGTCTGGTTACAAGCACCTACTATGTGAAGATGTCTGCCATACTCTCTGGTGACAACATGCTATTTCTATCGTATGGAAACCTGGAAGGTCATTACCACTGTTATATATGTGCACTGTTCAGTTTAATTATATGCACAGGCCATTCATTGCCTTGTCTGATTTTATTTTTAAATTTAAGTGGGTTTTTATTGTGCCATTATCAAACTAAATGGTCTTTGCACTGCCTACAATGCCATCGAACAACATCAAGTTTGTCTTTGAATATAAACTTGGGTATACTCCTTGCAGTAAACAACACCTTTTAATTCACAGAAGTTGTTTTGGGTTTTTTGACACTTTGAAATATCAGACTACAATTTCTTGGTGTCATAGTTACTGTTTTTTATTGACGTTTACTGGGTATCCGGTTTGATCCTCCAGGTGGAGGGATTCTTACTGTCATCCTTCTGAGCATTTTCTCTGTTAAAATGACATAATGAGTTTGTGCATGTACTATTTAAAGGCTTTGATTTCTAAAACAATTACCCAGTGGTTCTGTCATTGGTAAAGTATATTTGCTTATGCCTGTTTAATCAAGAACCTCATTTATTGTTTTCATAAAACCCTATGCAGGGCTTTTACAGATTTTCTGTTACTTTTATGTACATGTCTTTTATGAGGTCACGCTATTCACGAAGGAGAAAGACTGACCACATATTTATTCTGTTCATGTTCAGTTAACAGTAAAGTGTGTAAATTAAATGATTTTAAGAAATAATTTTTCCTCTGTGTGTTTTTGAATTATTAATTTGTGTACTTGCCTGTGACGCAGGGCCATTTTTGGTTTGAATTGAAAGTGACTTGATGATCAGACACTCATGCAAGTAAGAGGTAGACGGAGGTACTCTGAAGCACAGCGGACGGAGGCAAGGTGATCTTAAGATTGAGCACAACATTTTTCCACAGGGGATTTGGAGGATTTTATGTTCACTTAGATATTTGATATCCTTACTGGTTCACTACACGACAAGATGATGAAAAACATTTGTAATCATTTATAACACATGGTCCTATTTGCATTGGAATGCTTCTACAAATAGAAAAAATACATGAATACATTCACTCCACATTACTCCACAAAGTAAATAAAAAGAACAAGTCCAAGTACCCTTTGGTCTTCTATCTGATCACTGGCCTTGGATGAGTGAAGGGGGAGCTTATATTAAGTAACATCACCTGGTAAAAACGGGATAGTAATGAAGCATAAGAGTGAAGAAAATGCATATAAATGATTCCATACATATATTCATCTTATTTTTTTTTTCTTTTAACAATGTATTTTAAATGTTAAATACTGTATCGAAGTGTACCGACAGAGGGTGCTATGGACTATGTAACGTGGATGCTCAACGCTCACTGCAACAGGAATTTACTTCCGGTATCATGTTATGAAGCGTAAGTGACAACATCTGATTTGATTCGCATCGACAAGGAGCGAAACGTCCCTCCCAAGTAAGTTAAATGCTCTATTTTAATGGTTTGTCAAGCAATGACATCACTGTGTGTAAAAAGTATGAGAGTTTCTCTGTGTTTTCAAAGAAATGGGAACAATGTTTAGAAAACCGGTTCTGCAACAGCCATTAGCCTACAAGTGTAGCCTATGATTTACGCTCAAAATGAGTTGATACTACAGTAGGTGGGCCTATAAACAAGTGTACTGGAGCAATGGATACAACATAATAATTACAGGACAGAAACGGGTTAGGTGATCTAATGGTTGTCTTTGAATTCATCTTTCACATATTTTCCTATTTTCTTTATGTATTCTGTATGTATCGTCTAAATGGTAAATGGTCACTGTGATTGGTGGTTTTATATAGTGCTTTTCCACCTTCAGGTCACTCAAAGCACTTTACATCAAGGAACCACTCACACGTTCACACACCAGTGTACACAGACAATGGGGGTGAGGTTGATTAAGTGTCTTGCCCAAGGACACAATGACAGCATTCATCTGTGGGAACTGGAAGCAAACCAGCAACCTGTGGATCGGTGAATCTGACCGCTGTATCATTGATGTTAATGTCGAGATTCGAACCACCAACCTTCAGATCAGTGGACAAACACTCCAGCACACACCAACTGAGCTGCCATCACCTGCTAATCTGAATAATGACCAAACCTTCACTTTCAGGGTAATAATCAGATTGTGTTCTGCTTACAGGGGATGGGTCCTGACAGTGAAGCAGGCCCCTCTGTGCCCTGGAGAAAGGTGCTCTGGGAGCGTCAGCCATTCCCTGATAACTATGTGGATCAGCGCTTTCTGGAGGAGCTTCGCCGCAATGAGGGCCTGCATCAGTACCACTACTGGGCTGTGGTGAAAGAAGCAGGCATTGTGGGACAGCAGCTGTCTTGTGTTGCCATTTTTATAACACTATGGCTCTACATGGAGCAGGTAACTTAAACTGGGGCTGTAACTGTGTGACTTTAAAAAAAGTATTTTATTTTATGCTGTACCTGTTTACTCTTGTTTAACTAGGGTTTACTGCCCCCCGAGACACTCTTGTGGACCAGCCTTCTGATAGCACTGCTGGGGTATGGACTTCATCAGGTTTTAAGCACTAAACAAGAGTTGGACTGCAAACCACGGACACATCTGGCAAATTTACAAAGTGCCACTATTTTCTTGTCTTTCACTTTTGGTTTCTCTCCTGTGCTGAAGACACTGACAGAGTCCGTAAGCACAGATACAGTCTATGCCATGTCTGCAATGATGCTACTGGCCCACCTGATGTCATTTCCTTACACCCAGCCCTCTCCTCCAGGCAGCCTCTCTCTCAATGCTGCTCTGTTTGCCTCTGTGTGTTTGGCCTCCAGGCTGCCTGGTGCTCTGCATACTTTTGCCATGCTAAACTGTGCTCTCCTGGTGTTTGCCCTGTGGCCCTGTTTGTTACAGAAGATGAGGGAGAGGACTCCTCATCACTTCACTGTGGTCTCCATTGGAGTGTGTATAGCAGGAGTAGCAGGGTTGGGATCACAGTCCTGTTTTGGAGCAGTGCTTCTGGCCATGGCCTTATTAAGTGTGACACTACTCTGCCCTATTCTGCTTATCAGACTACAGCAGCAAAAGGACAATATTTCTGGACCATGGGATGAAGCTGAAATCCATGAAGATATACGACAGTTTGCTCAGTGATGGAATAAGATGGCACACTGCCTTTTAATCTGACTTGCATAAATGTAATCGTCACACCAGATGTCACATACTACAGTACTAAAATTGGTAGTATCTTTTTAAGCTGCTGGTGTGATGTGCACAGGTACAGTACACACAAGTATTTTTGAATGTGAGATGGCATTGTACAGTAGCATACTTTATCTCACATGAACCTAACCAAATAAACCAAATATTAACCAATGATTTGTGCTGTTCAGCTGTAATGATCTTAAATCATAATAAACCATGTAATTCAAGGTTTACATTTGTTTAATTTCTTGAGTTAGCAACAATATTAGTTATTAGCAGAAACTGCTGCTGACATTAATTCAAGCCTACTGTTATTTTAGATTTATAACAAACAATCGCTATGTTTTTGTTAAGTAAGTTGGTTGGAGAAGCTCTGGAAGCGTTGAAATTAACCATACATAATAGTTTAGGGTCGTACCTTTACTTGTTCCCGTTGTTTAGCATCTGCAAGACATGAGGCACGTTTCGATGTCCATTTTGGGTCGGATGGTGGCGCCATTTGTAATGTTTGCCGAACAAACTACGCAAAAGCTTAACTAACAAAGTTCAGTCGCGCTTAGAAAAAACGAGATTTCAGAATATCCATGAAAAACATTACATTGGAGCAACAACCAAACCGAACGTGACGCCGAGTAGAGCGCACTAAAGAATAGTTTCATTATTCCTTTAAATTTTCAACTAAATCAGTCACAATCAACATAAACAGTTTATTGAAAAATACAGAATGACATTTCTGTTCACATTAAATGTTATGGCATTTTCATACTGAACAGGACCTCTCTCTTATTGTAACAAAACGAGAACTGCACACATATGGCATAAAAAGGTAGTGCTTATATGCTGTTTTATATATAGGCTACATAGTGAAAAGTCTGTATTGTAGAAACAAATTACATTGCATAGATAAAATATAAACAATCTTAACTGAAGACATTCTGCTTAGAGATAAGTATAATCCAGTATTTATAGCTATTGATGGTATACATAAAACAGACAAGAGGCACAGTGAATTTTGCAGACAGCAGCTCCCACAGGACACAGCTCAGCATCATGCATCAGCTGGGTTAGACATCAGGCCATGGGTATCTTTGAATTTCAACAGCAACTCAGCACATCACAGGAAACTCACAATTTGAGTTTGGGGACAGCAGGGGGTTGCCTCCTACAAAGATAACAAGATTAGATGTCACCACTATAAATGAAGTAAGTCAATTTGGCATAAATGTTCCAGGTATATATTGTTTGTTATTGAGTCTACAAAGGGCCATTTGATGTGTTACCATAGGGTATAAGCCAGTATAGATGTGGATGGAAATGCTCAGGAATGGGGAATAATATTTGGGAAAGAACCTAAAGAACCATTGGAGAGCACAAAGGAAATGAGGCAAGGAGAGAGAGGGAGACACGGGCCAAAAACTGGAGAGGAACCAGTAAAAGAAAGAAACGTGTAGAGGGAGAGAGGGCAATAAAACAAACTGATCCTTGGAACAGAAGACAAGGTAGAGAAAGAGAGAGAGAGACAGAGACAGAGAGAGACAGGGAGAGAGTGAGAGAATGTGTAAGGGACAGAGACGGATGAAAACTTGACAGAGTGCTCAGTCTGTTGTCTCTGGCTGACTCCAAACGAAAGCTGCACAGAGAGAAGTTCTGACTCCTGAGGCTGATGGGAACAAGTCTATGAGAAACACATTTTCCAGCAGACCCCCACCCATCTCAAATAACAGCTTATTCTACCATTGGGTTTGTGCATTGGTTGACTGTAAAAGATTGCATAGATCTTTTTGGCATTTTTAAAGACAGACTTGAAGTAACAATATTATTTGGTTGTTTCAAACATACTTAGGCACACAGCGAGTCCTGCGGTGCTGTTGACGGTTATGGTGACTATCCTCATCTTCATTTACGGGTGCTGGTGCTGGTGGGACAGGGGCAGGAGTACGGGAAGCAGGAGTACGGGAAGCAGACCTACTCTTTCTTCTATGATGATTTGGACTGAGACATGAAAATAACAATGAGTACAACTAATGCAGTGGAGTAAAAGTGATTGAAACACAATAAGCACAAAAAAGGTAAATGCATACCCTTACACAAAAACGTGTTAACATTTAAAGCAATCAAAAAATTTTTATAATGGGATGGAGCGCTTAATCATGAATGCCGGTTTATATTAGTGTCAAATTTTACACCTGAATAAATATCAAAATCAGGAACTACACTGCTACTTTTAAGACATACGGTTACTCTACAGTAGATTTATTCAATTTATTTAGTATTTTTTGAATCTCTGTATTACTAGCATCTTTGTTTGCAAATAAAATGACGCAAGTTATGTTTGAAATGCAGATGACTTTTTTCTAGTTCGACACACACACAGTACCTGCGTGGAAGTACCCAGGATGAGTCTACAGGTGGGGGCAGTGGGGTGGTGCAGGTAGCTGTGGATATCTCTCCGATCACAGACAGCGCCTCCTTCAGGGCAGTGTGTTTTCTCAGCACGTCTTCTCGATGCTGCTGCTGCTCTGGTGACTCATCCATCAGAGAGGAGCTTTCTCCCAAAGCATAGAGCTGGGCCAGGAGCTCCGAGCTGATGAACTCCTTAACCTGCATAGAGGGGGATTATAAACAGCTGTGACAATTTTAACATGTACAGAAATCATGTAAAACTACACCTTCTTCTGATTTAGGACCAGCACTTAACTCTTAAGAGTGATAAAATTGTACTTTATTGGTCTGGCTTTTATTATTTGATCAGGCAAAATGTATAAAGGTTGCCAAATATATAAGGAATATGAATTAGCTAGTAAGAGTAGAAGCAGTGTTAATAGTCCAACCATAAGAGAGTTGCAATTTCTTCCAAAACACTATGCAAATGTGTAGCCTCTTTTCCATGGGCATGGTATGCTTGGGTCAAATTGGTAGGGGCACTGTACATTAAAAAGTTACCCAAAGGAAAGGCTTGCACTACTCTTTCACAACTGTATGGTTGCAAAATGGACTATTAATCAGCGGTATATTTATAATTTATCCTATAACCTTACACAATAGTCTTAGTACAAAAGTTCTATATCCAGTGTGGCATAAAACCTACACTGATTGAATATGCAATCTAGGTGTTGGACATTTTGCTGTGGTAAGTCCAGAAAGAAAAAAAAGAAAGAAGAAAGGATTTTTACAAAGTCAAGAATGTCTTACACTGTTGATTATGAGGTGCATAACAGTCTTGGGCATTAGGTCCCTGATGGTTTTGTAGATGATGTTCATGTAGGAGTCGACAAGGTTGCGTATGGTTTCCACCTGGCGCTCCAGCTGGGGGTCTGTGAAGTTTTCTGGGGTCCCATTCCCCTGTAAAAGACAAAGTTTCATCCTTAGTCATTTTAAGCTTCTGTATTATCTGTATAAGCTAGACTACTTTGGACGTTAAGCACTGAATTATTACTGAAATGTGCAATAAAACACAACTTCAGGTGATTTTGATTTTGAGAACTGAACATTATAACATTGTATAAACCTCAACAAAGTCTATTAAGGATAATAAAGGGAATTATACTAATGGTTCCTCTCTTAAAGGGTGACCCGACTATGCATACTTTGAACTAACGCTGTGTCCAGATAAATGAAGAGTACTAGTGTGATTAGTGCATGAGGGCATTGCCAATAAATTGTGTGAATTAACTCAAGCTAGAAAGCAGATGAATTACTGTGACAACCCTAGACAAATCAGGCAAAAGAAAAAAAGATGTTATGAGTAAATTATTTAAAAGACATTGATCTGTCATTGTTTTAATTATCTTGTCATAAACTGGTGTCAAAGAGTAGAGTAGGGGATCTTTACAGACATACAGCAGAGCAGAGGGAACTCAAGGGAGTCAAGGAGGAGTGGGCAAAAGAAAGAAAAAGAGGGAATGGGTGAGGGACAAGGAACTGCTGATTAGAAACAGACACACATACACATATTGTAGTGACATCATGTGTGCGGAATGCAGTGCTGAAGAGCCAACGACAGAGCAAGATGCAAGGGGTGGGGGACTAACTTTTTTACAAGAACTGGGGAAGAAAAAGAGGGAACATGTAAAAAAGTGAGGTGGTGGCCTGGGTTTAAGGTGAACAAAAGTCAACTACACAAGGATACTGTTTAAGTTAGTGTTGCTGCCCATAGAGAGGTTAAATGGGTTATGATAGTGCAAGGGTACGCACAGTGGTGTTCTCAGGGTAGACTCCGGCCCGTAACAGAGAAGTCCTCCAGCTGTCCAGCTCCTCCTGAGAAACACAGGCCAGCTCGAGGTATCTGTAGTCCTTATACACATTCCTGCAACAATAGTGAGATTCATATAAAAACGGTTGGTGATAAAGTCAAGTCACGCTCAGCTCTAGTCATTTCTGGAATCTTGAAGCAAATCTAATCAAAACTAATAGTCAGTCATGTCATGTCAGTTTTCTTTCTTTTCACAAAATTATTATGCAAAAAAGTTTAATGATTTTTCCAGACGCCCAAATTGCTTTACAATTTTATGCACATTTATGTACTTTCCATACTGATTAGTTATAAGATTAAAAAGTCTTTCTAGCTAGGCATGACATATCATTGTTGAAGACACAGATTCAATGCAAAATCTTACAGAAAGAAGCAAAATATCAGGAAAACTTTTTTTAGTAGTTGGCTGAGCTCTTAAATTTGAATTGTTCAAGAGTCCAATTTTGTTAAAACAATTACTGTATTAAGCAATGTTTAGCAAAGCCAGTCCTACAAATGGCTACATATTATGCTTTTAGAACTAGTGCACAATTTGTAGAGTGCAAAGTAAGAAACAGGGAAAGGCTTTGGATGAAGCTGGGGCCCATCTGTTAAACATTTTTCTTTAATCACTCCGTTGTTTCATTCCTACTTTTGTTGTTCACTCCTCACATTCATCAGATGTAGCAATTAAGCTCAAATATGTGTGGGGAAAAGAGAGATGCAACAGCAGTGGTCATAGGTGCAAAAAAAAATAAAAAATCACAAAATAACAACAAACGTGGTCGAAGAGTTGTGAGTTAGTATAATTGGCTACAATGGATGAAGTCAGGGTGTGGTGGCTAACAGCGACTGGCCAACAATGACAATACTCCAGTGCTATTGCAGGGAAATCATAGCCTATTATTTGGATATACACGAGCGACTATTAAACGCATATACTTGATTTACGACTCACATCCATTTTTCCCTCAATCTCTTTTTTCACGCTGTTTT